CGTGCCACACCTGCAACACTATGCGGTCCCACCAGTCTGTGCTTGTTTCCCGGGCCCAGAATCGGCGTTCCACGGCATGAACCTGCCCCATTAACAGCATGATCTCCAAAGCGCCGGGGCCCGTGGTTTGATAGAATTCCATGTCCATGTCCTCATCACTCTCGTCGCCGTGCTGCCGTAGCCTACTCCTCGTCGCCTGGTTTTGCAGGTTCTGTTTCAACATAAACTGCACGATAACGCGCGAGGTGTTTACGATGTTCATGACTGCTGTCTTGAGCTGAGCGGGCTCCATGCTTGCCGCGGTATGGCGTCTGCACTGTTCACCCAGAAAAAAGGCGCAAAACGGTTGTCTGCCGTTGCTTTCCCGGAGGGAGGGAGAGGATGGACCCAGAGCCACCCGCGACAGTTTTTGGCCCCATCAGGCATTGGGATCTCAACCTAGAATTCCAATGGGCAGAGGAGACTGCAGGAACTATGGGATAGCTACCCACAGTGCAACGCTCCGGAAATAGACACTAGCCCCGGTACATGGACGCACATTGCCGAATTAATGTGCTTAGTGTGGCCGCATACATTCAACTTTATATAATCTGTTGCCAAAAACCGGTTTCTGTAAAATCGGAATAATCCCGTAGTGTAGACATATCCTAAGAGAGGTGAGGGTCAGGGGAGCCAGCAGCCTGAGAGCCGGTGCCCTTGCTGGACTGCTGAGGGGAAATACAGGTGCAGTTGCCCTGAACTGTGACAGTAACTTTGTCTGAACTGGCCTGGCCTTGCCTTTAAGTACCTGGAACCCACTGGCTGGTTTTCAGGTCCAAATGTTGGTTTTGTCAGAGCTATGTTATTTCTAAGGAATCAACAGACTAAGGGAATCCTCTGCCTGCAGCCTATGTGATACTGGGTGGAGTTTGTTATCCTGGGACAGCCAAAGGTAAATCCCAAACTCTACTCATCCAGAATGGATTCTGCTGCTGCCTGCCTGGGAGAGCTGTTGTCGTAAAACCTACCTAGTAGATCAGGCTGTTGCTCATTATTATTCAAATAATAATGAAATACAAATTCTTTCCTTATTGTACGGGAGCTGAGCTGGGTGGGGCAGAAAAAGGAAGAGGTTATCCCCATTTGTAGACTAACTGCTAAAAGCTTTAACTCTCACTGAAATTTGGAAGAATTCTTGAAAGCCTGGAAAATATTCAGCAAAGAGGCACTTTTCACTCTTAGTGCATCATTGGTTTTATTTGAAAGATCCCATGTTATAACTCCTGAATTATAAGATCAGCTCTCTTCAACTCCTTTAAATTCTTCAATCCAGTGCCAAAGAAAAATATTCCGAGATCAAAAAGAGAGAGTTACATCAGAACAGGATCTGAACTTTCAATAGAAGAGATTCACGCTGTTTCTAGGGAAGATTCTTTCTACCTAGGGATGGAAACATAATTATTTCTCTCAGGTCTGGAGATGTGTACATTTCAATTTTCTCTCTCTCCCTCCCTCCCTCTTCTGCTGACCCAGCGTGGATTCATTCTTGGCTACAGACTGTACTTGCTGCTCAGATCTCCGCCGTCCATGGCAAAGGAGTTAGGTTAAAGGACTTTTCTTTTGTAGACACAATTCAGCACTATCGTCAACTGTGAGCATTCCAAATCATGAGCTTGGCTTACAAATCATGAGTTTTTTTTAAATTGGGTTATTATTTGCCTTCTGGTTTTGAGCCTTTAGGGCTCACTCAGTTCACATATTCAAGCTTTTATCTGCAATCATAAGGACTATAAACTTACTCTCCTCTCTCTTTTATAAATGAAAGCTGAGATTCTCACATGATCACTTGCTTCCAGGAACCGGAAGCCTGATAAGAAAAACAAACAAACACAAGTCGCACAAGACTCACAGTAAGATGGCACAAGTTGGTAATAGCAGATCACAGGTACAGTATCTGCCCTCTCCACAGTGACAATCATTGGGAGCTGAAGCACAAAAAGATCCCAGGGATTGTGTGGAGTAACTGCAGTGTGTAAGGTTGTGGGTACAGCAGCAGAGGCCAAAGGTCATCCTCCATTTTGGAAGGAGGGGCAGTCAGCACTAGGCTGTGTTTAGAGTTATGTAATATTTCCATAAATATAACATGTGTTAATTACAAGTGCTCTGTGTTTTCATAAAGAGAACGGTGATTTTTAATAAAGGCTCTGGAGGCGATCCTGGCCATTACAGGCCAGTAAGCCTAACTTTAGTACCAGGCAAATTGGTTGAAACTATAGTAAAGAATAGAATTATCAGACACATAGATGAACATGATATGTTGGGGAAGAGACAACATGGCTTTCATAAAGGGAAATCATGCCTCACCAATCTATTAGAATTCTTGGAAGGAGTCAATATGTGGACAAGGGTGCTCCAGTAGATACAGTGTCCTTTGACAAGGTCCCACACCAACAGCTCTTAAGCAAACTAAGCAGTCATGGGATAAGAGGGAAGGTCCTCTCATCGATAAGTAACTGATAAGAAACAAAGGGTAGGAATAAATGGTCAGTTTTCACAATGGAGAGAGGCATATAGCAGGGTTCCCCAAGGAGCTGTACTGGGGCCTGTGCTGTTCAACATATTCATAAATGATCTAGAAAAGGGGGTGAACAATGAGGTGGCAAAATTTGCATATGATACAAAATTACTCAAGATAGTTAAGTCCAAAGCTGACTGCAGAGAGTTACAAAGGGATCTCACTATAGTGGATGAGTGGGCAACAAAATGGCAGATGAAATTCAATATTGATAGAGGCAAAGTAATGCGTATTGGAAAACATAATCCCAACTATAGATACTAAATGATGGGGTCTAAATTAGCTGTTATCAGTTAAGAAAGATCTTGGAGTCATCACGGATAGTTCCCTGAAAACATCTGCTCAATTTGCAGCAGCAGCCAAAAAAGCGAACAGAATATTAGGAACGATTAGGAAAAGGATAGACAATAAGACAGAAAATAACATCATGACATTATATAAATCCATGGTACACCCACATACTTTGTATACTGTGTACAGTTTTGGTCACTCCATCTCAAAAAAAGATGTATTAGAATTGGAAAAAGTACAGTTTGGGGAAAAATAATTAGGGGTATGGAACAGCTTGAGGGGAGATTAAAAAGACTGGGACTGTTTAGCTTAGAAAAGAGATGACTAAGGGGGAATATGATAGATGTCTATAAAACCATGAATGGTGTGGAAAAAGTGAATAGGGAAGTGTTATTTACCCTTCACATAACACGAGAACTAGGGGTCACCCAAAGAAATTAATAGGCAACAGGATTAAAACAAATAGAAGGAAGTACTTCTTCACACAACACACAGTCAACCTGTGTAACTCGTTGCCAGGGAATGTTGTGAAGGCCAAAAGTATAACTGGGTTCAAAAAAGAATTAGATAACTTCATGGAGGATAGGTCCATCAGTGACTGTTAGCCAAGATGGTCAGGGACGCAACCCCAAGCTCTGGGTGTCCCTAAACCTCCAGCTGCCAGAAGCAGGGACTGGATGACAGGGGATGGATCACTTGATAGCTGCCCTGTTCTGTTCATTCCCTCTGAACCATCTGGATTTAGCCACTGTCAGAAGATAGGATACTGAGCTCGATGGCCCATTGGTCTGACTCAGTATGGCCATACTTATGCTCTTATGAACAACGCAGGGATAAGGTCAGAGGACTAACAGCAGGTGAGGGGTTTTAGGCATGTTCTACAGGACACAATGGTGCCCAGCCTGTAATACACTGTACAGAGACTCCAGTTACCAGCCTGTAGGAAGAGGAAGAATTAAGCCTGGATCCACAAACACAAGCAGAAGTACAGGAAATATATCAAATAATATCTGTCAAGCTGCAGTATGCAGTTCTCACACCCCTAAGGTTCCAGCACAAAGAGGAAACAGACACTACAGATGTATCTGAGACTGAGCTATACTGTATTTTAAAGGATAGCAGTGAATACATACCTGACAACACCTGAAAGCTATTAGAGACATTTGGGGAAAAGAACTGATGCACACCTTTTAACTCCATTGAAATACACCTGGTGGGAGGAACAGAGAGAAACTGGTCAATATTTTGCTTATAAAATAGGAACTGACCAAAATAATAATAATTATTATTAATAATATTCTAATGGCTAACTAATTGCTGACACTGTACAACAGTGGTTCTTAACCAGGAGTACACGTACCCCTGGAAATATACAGAGGTCTTCCAGGGGATACCTCAACTCATCTAGATATTTGCCTAGTTTTACAACAGGTTACATAAAAAGCACTAGCAAAGTCAGTACAAAATAAAATTTTATACAGACAATGACTTGTCTATATACTATAAACTGAAATGTAAGTAAAATATTTATATTTCAATTGATTTATTTTATAGTTATATGGTAAAATTGAGGGAGTAAGCATTTTTTCAGTAATGTGCTGTGACACTTGTATTTTTATGTCTGATTTTGTAAGCAAGTAGTTTTTAATTAAGGTGAAACTTGGGGGTACACAAGACAAATCAGACTCTCGAAAGGGGTACAGTAGTCTGGAAAGGTTGAGAACCACTGCTGTACAACATACACATAAAGACAGTTGAGTTTATAATCTAATAGAGACTTCTAGCAGGCATGGGAATAACACACACACACCCAAATGATAATTATGGTCCCTGGGGAGGGAAACAGAACTGCATCACTACTGCCTTCTCCCCCATCTCAAGGTGGTCTACCCCTGTAGGGATCAGGAGGAGAGTAGTGCAGGCTCCTTGGAAGTTTCCTCACCATGCATGTCTCTCACTGGGAGTGTGCAGTCTGTTACTTTTTGCTCAACAGATCCCTCCTCCTTTGAAGAATTGAAAGAATCTTAGCAGCCTCTTCTCTCCCCTTCTCCTCCCTCTTGTCTGGTTAGTCACGTATAGAGGGGAGTGACTTGATTTTTTTCCCCTCTCAAGGAGTTGGGTTTCCACTTCCTGCCCCCGGATCTCCTCCTTTGTCTCTTCCTGCCTGTCTACTCCTGAAGGGCACACCTAAGGTGCAGGCAGAGAAGGGGTTAAAGGTGGATGTGCTCAGAGGAAAGGGAAACACCCTACACTGCTAGGCTCTGAGTCAGTTTCACCTGAAACTCTACAGGTGGTGGAGAGAAAACCAGAGAACAGGCACACGGAGTAGCTACTAGAGCGGGGGAAAGGGAAGTGGGACCCATGCAGTAGGAAGGGGGGGGAAGTCAGACAAAGCTGGAGGAACCTGGGCTGGAGGACCCTATCTCGGCTACTAAGCAGGCAAAGGACTGGGCTATACTCAACAAAGAAGAACCCGGAGGCGTCACACCTGCACCTGGAACCTAGTGTCGGAGCAGAACATCCGGGTCCGCCGCGCTTGGAAAGGTCGGTTTTATATTCATGATGCTTCGTTAATAAGTTAAATGGGGCCACAAGGAACGGAAAACCGGGGGAGGGGGCTGAAATACGACCCCTCTCCTCCTAGTGTGTCTTAAAGAGCCAGCCAGAGAAATGGTTACTTTGTCAGTCTTTTAACTTGTCTTCTCTCACCTCCGCTCTTCCCGCCCCACCAGGAAGATCGGAGCTTGGAGACGGAGAGAAAAGACCCGAGTTAAGATGGCCAGCGGCAGAGCCCTGCTCCAGGCTGGCCTCCTGATCCAGCTGCTGATGGCTGCTGTTCTGGGTCAGGAGGGAGGAGAGGAGGGAGCGTCCTTTGGCGAAACCTGCCTGGCCCATTTCACTGCAGGGATGCCTGAGTTCGTGCTGGACACTGATGCCTCGGTGCAGAATGGGGCCACCTTCCTGCCCTCCCCCCCGGTTCATCGGGGCAAGGAGTGCGTGCGGGCTTGCTGTAAGGAGCCTTCTTGCAACCTGGCCCTGGTGGAGCAGAAGCCACACGAGGGGGAAGACCGCATCGAAGCCTGCTTCCTCCTGAACTGCCTCTACGAGCAAGCTTTTGTCTGCAAGTTTGCCAGGAAGGTGGGCTTTCTCAACTACGTCAAGAGGGACGTGTACGATGCCTACGTGAAAGTGCGGGACCAAGGACATGGTGGTGAGCAGACACAATAAGCCTGTGATTGAACTCACGGCTGGGTGTGTTCATTTCAATCCGCCTGGGTCCCTCTCTCCCCCTTTCCATTGTAAACGAGGTGGCTGCGTTGTCAAATAGTTGGAGTAAGGGTCTGAGAGTTAAGGCTCTGCCGCTCGTTCTCTCCGCAACGTCAGTCGGATGTCTTAAAAACTCTGTGCCTCAGTTTACCCAGGAGGGGAGATGGGGTAATACAGTACTTCTCTGGAGGGGCTTAATAATTAACTGAGTGCCAAAAATGGTCTTGGTGTTGTACAAAAATAGAGTAAGATGTGGTCCTTCCCACAAGGAATTTAGAATAGAAACTTGAAATCACATTAAATCTAAATATTGTAATGTTTTTAGCCGTGGTTCACTAATACCTGAATTGTGAAGGGGCTGGAGGCAGTGAGGGGGTTCTCAGGTATGGAATCCATTTCCCCTCTTGGTGTGCCAAGGTCTGGATCCGCTTAGGTGGCAAGGCCTTTGGTTTGCTAGGCTTTTGGCTTTTTGTGGGCAGGAATGAATTAGTATTTGGATGGGTTGGATGTGAGAACTTGAGTTTATTGAATGGGTTTCAGGGAGTCTTTTATTTGGATTTTTGGATCATAACTGTTTAAGTGAAAACTTTTTATAAAGGTTGCATCTGTGTGTAGGACACTGGATGGGAAGCACTTTCAGAAAGTAAAATCACCTGTAGTTGACCTCTTGTAAAGCATTTTGAAGTCTCCAGCTGAAAGGTACTGTAGACATGCAAAGTATTAAGATATATAGCTATGGGTCTGGCACCAACTTTTCTCCTCTTCACCCCCGAAATGTCTTGCAGTACTGGAGCCTGTTTTGTAGTTGGATCAGGTCTCTGGTCACTACTGGCTTTTTGAATCTATGTGGTTTGGACCCAACAAGTTGGTAGTTACAAGAGGCTGTTCTGAGATGATTTGAATATGCTGATCTTCTTTTTCTCTCCTCCCAAAACAGCTGTGGGATGGCGGGGGTGGTTCTATTAAGAGTACCAGCTACTAAGGACACCAGTGTGGCAGGTGTATGGGCAGAGTCATAGGCTCTCCTGGGTGAGATGAGAGGTCTCTGATGCCATGATTTCTATGGGAAGTTGCAAGAATACCAAAAAGACCCCATGTGTTGGAAACATAAGTTCAAGAGCCGGGAAATGTGGAATTGATTAGTTCTGTTATTTATAGAAGACAACACAAAGGAGGAAGTTCAAGAGGGTGTAGCTACCCAAACAACTCCTAGTAATCCTCCCATGCCGAGCCTTGAATGTTACTGCCTCTCACCGCTTCTCTCACACCACTGCTGGGATGTGTATCTCCTCTCATTGTAATATGTCTCTTGTTCATCTCTGCTGGATCTCTCCTATGCCTTGATTGTAGGCTGAGGTCCTCCTTCTCAAAAACAAAGATGAGTTAAACCCGTTACTCTGTAATCAATATCCTACAAACCAAGGTGTGGGGCACAGACATTAATCTTAACTAACTTTTAAATGTTATGTTCTATCCTCTTTCCCTCTGCACTTAAGTCTCGGTTCAACAAATTTATCCCAAAATAAGCAATGCCAGAAGCCTCACTCTATGGTAGTTCAGAAATCACAGAACAATGCATTCTGGGATCTCTCCACTGCTACAGGAAGTACTAAGGAGACTAATCAGAGGAGAGAAAATCATTGAAAGGTTCTGTTGGGAATGCCACCCAAAACCTGCTCAATAGGGCGTTCAGCTCCTCTCTCATGCTGGATTTACACCACATGGATGTTGAAAAGACTCATTCCATCCAACATCCCCTGTCTTCATTTCCTTCTTGTATGATACTTGTGACAGCATACCATAGCACAGAAACCAGGAAGTTTGCAATTCCTATTTTCTCAGCATCCTAGTGAGACAACTTTGTTAAACTACAATGCTGATGACACTCTTGGATGGAAAGCATGTTTTCCTCCTCTTAAACAAGTTTTTAACTTGCAGCAAAACCTTTGTAGTTTATCTTATGTGAAACAGAAGGGTTGCTGAGAAGAGACACAGGATGATTACTGACAAACATTCCAAGCCTGAGAAAAGGGGTGAAAAATAAAGGATGACCAATCAAACTATATTAGATTGTCCCTAGTTTACAGTAGGATTGTTTGGACATTCTAGAACTTTTGGTTCAGAGCCAAAAAGTATTCCACAGTATGATGACATAACTAGGTCAGCGGAAGAGGAATTCAGCATAGAATAAAGGGCTTGTTTTAGCAGGAGAGGTGAGTGCATCACTTCCGCTGTATGGGAGAGAGGAGCAAGTTTGCAAGGGTGTATTTCCAGGACAGCAGATTGCCTCTAGGCAATGACTGCACCTTGCTGGTGCTGAAAAGGAAATTAGTCATTTTTACTTTAAGACTTTTTGGGGAAGCTATCATAGTATTACTACTTATAATACTATTAGGGTGTCTGGTTTTCGATAGGAACCCCTGGTTGAAAAGAGACCCTGCTGGCTCCAGTCAGCACCACTGACCGGGCTGTTAAAAGTCCAATTGGCGGCACAGCGGGGCTAAGGCAGGCTCCCTGGCTCCGTGCAGCTCCTGGAAGCGTATGGCATGTCCTGCTCCTAGGTGCAGGGATAATCAGGGAAGCTCTGCGCACTGCACCCCCCATCCCTCAGTGCTGGCACCGCAGCTCCCATTGGCTGGCCAATGGGAGCTGTGGGGGTGGCGCTTACGGGCACGGGAAGCGCACAGAGCAGCCTAGGGGCCACAGGGACGTGCCAGCTGCTTCCGGGAGCTGCACGGAGCCAGGGCAGGCAGGGAGCCTGCCTTAGCCCACCTGTGCCACCGACTCGGAGCTGCTGGAGGTAAGTGTCGCCCTTCTGGAGACCGTGCCCTGATCTCCCTCCCGCACCCCAATCCCCTGCCCCAGGTTGGAACCCCGTCCCGCACTCTTAACTCCCTTCCAGAGCCCTCACCCCTCTTGCATCTCGACCCCCTGCCCCAGCCCTGAGCCCTCTCCCACACCCCAACCCCCTGCCCCAGCCCTGAGCCCCCTCCCGCACCTTAACTCCCTCCCAGAGCCTGCACCCCAGCCCAGAGCCCCCTCCTGGAGTCTGCACTCCTCCCGCACCCAACCCTCTGCCCCAGCCCTGAGTCTGCTCCTGCCCTCTGAACCCCTTGGCACCAGCCCAGAGCACCCTCCTGCACCCCAAACTCCTTATCGCTGGCCCCACCCCAGAGCCTGCACCCCCAGCCAGAGCCCTCACCCCCTGCCCCAGCCCAGTGAAACTGAGTGAGGGTTAGGGAGAGCAAGCAACGGTGGGAGGGGGAATGGAGTGAGTGGGGACGGGGCCACAGAGAAGCGGTGGGGGTGTTCAGTTTTGTGCTATTAGAAAGTTGGCAACCCTAAATAATACTGACATTCCCGGTTTAGTCTTGCAGTAGAGACTAGACAGACCATACAGTCTTCACAAGTTGTACTACAGTTATCAAGCTAAAGCTCCAGGATCCAGCACTGCTTGAGACTACACACTATTGCAAACCCCCAAACATTGAAAAATCATGAGTCAGGCCCTAATAAAATCAGGAGACTGATGTAAAAATCGTGAGATTTAAAAAACATATTTGGGGGTCTCTTTTTCTTCTGGATTCTGAGCCTTTACTAAGCATTTGGGTTATGTTTTTCTAGTCCCCTCGCAATAATGAAGGTGAGAAACTTTTCAAAATGAAAGCTGTGTTTCTCCTGCCAACTTGTGATTCCAGCTGCTGGGGCTTTTAGAAAAAACACCAAAATCATGAAACTCAGGATAAAATGGCAAGCATTGGTAACACTGAGTCTAAAATACAACTTTGGGGTCTCATCTAAGAGTGTTTTCACTGTGCTAGGGGGATGCTCTGATTTAAGTAGGTCCCCTATCAAGGCAACAATCATCATCTGCTCCCTCTGACACACAGGCTAACTGCTCTCCTGAGTCTCTGGTCATAGTATTATCCTTGAAGGCATAGCATGTGTTCCTCTGCCATTTCAAGCACAAACTTTGTTCTAAGGTTTCTCTCTGGCTCTTGAGGCCGGGCTCACCGTGAGTTTTACTAGCAATAATAGCATGCAAAGTTTAAGTAACCACTACATAGGTTTATTCTGGATCTAGGCAAACCAGTTTGGGAGTGGAAAATAACTTCCCTGAACCTTTGCCCATTTCTAGAACTGAATCTTTTGTTAATATTGTGAAATACTTGGTTACACTTGATTTGCTTCCAGTTTGTGGCTCATGACTGTTAACCTGCAGGACTCTGGAAATGCTTGTTCTCACCAAATTTCCAACCCAGATTTGCAGATTCAAGGTTCATCTATGTATCCAAACTGTAGGCTACTTCTCTGAGCTGACACCCAGCCCAGATGCTCTGGACTAGCTTCCATTTTGTAATAAATACAGCACAGTTATGCCTATCTAACAGGGCCTTCTCTCCTACCTCTAGCGAATAACCCTATGTGAGATACATCATGCTGCCCTAATGGAGTCTGCTGGCTTCTACAAGCCAGACTGCTCATTAAGCCTGTTGCCTAAGGCATTTTTGTTTTTTCAGCTGAAAGAGCCTCTGCATCAGGTGGGTCGGCTGCTCTATAATTAAAGGTGCAGTACACAGATTGACCTCTCTGCACACTTGCATAGTCACTATTGACTGACCATGCTGGGAGCAGTGAATCTGACTGAGGTCCTGCGTGTTTTAAGACTCAAACCACACTAGCAAATTGATTCCAAATTAATGAAACCAGCAAAAACAAAGATCAGCAGAAGAACCTTCCCCTGGGAATCCTCTCTAAGCTTCAAGGAAATAATGTTTGCCTCTCACAAACCCTGAGCGGTGTGGCAAGCAGCTTTATTCTAAAGCAGTGACCCTTGAGAAACACTTCAACAAGGCGGAAGCACTGAGAGTCCTGTTGGGTTGCCTCTATGGTTATAATGAGATTGGCTTGAACTGCAGTGAGCACCCTTTTAAAAACTCTTAT